TTTGTAGGGTTTTTTTTGCTTTAGAAGCATACTCACCCTCTTTATAGGCTAATCAGAAAGTGCTGTCTTTTTCAGATGTATATTTTTCGTGAAATTTCCAGAATCATTTTTACACGTTTTCGTATCAAAATTTCAACATGAAATTTCACAAACAATATACATCTGAAAAAGGCAGCACTTTCTGATTAGTCTATTAAGAGGGTGAGTATGCTTCTAAAGCAAAAAAAAATCAAACTAAGCCTAAATGTGAAAATCAAAATTTGGCAAAGTGCGACACGTTTTTGTACATGTGGCTGTGTGGCCTATGTTTACGGAGGCTGTCCAGTAAATAGGCCACATTTATGGAGCTAGCCTATAACAAAAGAGTAATACCTAGCTAGGACTTGTGTTAAAATTAAATCGGATTTTTTAAATTACTTACAAAAATACCACAGGAAAACCAATGCCGACTTTGTAATATCTGTATGTGGATTTCCGGGGATTTGTCTTGGCCTCAACTCTGGACAAGGTCCAAGTTGCTGAATGAGGAGCTCAAATGTAGTTTTTCAAGCCGAAAGTGACTCTTGAAGTCCGTTAGTTCGTACTGCGGGACGGTGTACTCGACGTAATCCTCAACTTTTGGGACGTAGTCCCTACGATTTGTCAATAAATTTACAGCTACCTGGTCGTTTTGACATACTTGTCGATAATTTAGAGCAAATTCGTTTATTCTCTCATCAATTGATCGCACTGCAATGATGCAAGTAATGAATTTTGATCGATGCCTCTCCATTTTCCTGATGAGCAGACGACATGTTTACATTTCACACTCTTTCATGTCTTAAAAGTTCCCGCCAAACAACCTTTGACCTATTATTTTCCCAGCATGCTTAGGTAAAAAACACCGCGGCGTTCGATTAGTCTCGTTTCGTGGCTTCCCCCGGGTGTTACCTCCGGGTAAACACGGGAAGCTAATCGAACGCACCCATAAATGGAAAGCGCGCACGCACTGGCCGCCATGCCGTGCACAGTAGGCATACATGTACATGTACGTGCTGTAGTTATGTATGTATGTGTGTACACGTACGTACGCACACGGCGCCATATTTGCACACAGACTCGGGCATCGATCGATGAGTTTGAGGTTAGATTTTTTTTCCGTTGTCTCTTTATTAACATGCAAACCTCAAATACAATGAAACTCATAGTCCCCTATAGTTGATACATACACGATATAGTAACGCTCAAGTCAAGGCGTTGTTGTAGCTTTTCGCGACATTTAGGCCATAGCCCTTACCATTTTTTACCAACTTAAGCCAGGCCTAACATTAGCTTAAACGTTAGCAAGGTTAGGCATGCTCAGGCTTAGCTTGAGTAACTCGCTGTGCAATCGTCCAGACACCGATTTCGTGTCTGAGTTTGCTGGGTCTTTTCCCTCTACAGGAGTCTATCCCAATAACACTCACCTAAAAACATGCAACAGACATTCACTGAACATAAAACCCACCTCAAAAAAGGAAGAATATGGAACACTAGGAACTAGGCTAAGTAGTAAGTCAAGGGGGCCTATTATTTTTATTAAAGTAATATTTTTAATGTTCTCCCAACCGTATCCAAATGCTATAAAAGGTTATTTGTAGGGTAGTTTCTCGGACTAAGTCCGAAGCAGCCCAGCATGATTGCCATATGTAGACATTTGGTTTTAGGCCTAGGCCGGCCTAGGCCCGAACATTTTGTATCAATGACGTTTGCCTTCTAATCTTTATGGGCATAAAGACGGAATAAATGCAATGTGAAACGTACTAGAGTGAGGATGAATACAAAAGAAACAACTAAAAAGCTCATATTTATAAACCTTAATACTTCAAAGTTCATAATTTTGTCTTTTATTTTGTCAATTTCTTTGCCAGTTGTACAGGTTGAGGAAGTTGGCCACGTGCATGACATGAGATTTCCCAGCCCATGACCTAGCTAATATTAAGGCCTAACATTGACAATATGGGGTACATTTGCTTTAAATGCCATATCATCATTCCAGGTCCTGTTTCAAAATTGATCAGCCATTTACACATGGCACATGCTCTTTTTGACATGAACAATTTGCAGTTAGTTTGTGGTCAAGGGGAATGCCCATCAGCCTTCAGTACATTCAATTCTTTTAGGAAGCATGTTACAAAACAGCATGGTCAAACTGAAACTGAGAATTTACTTGAAGATTTACGTGATCATTTTGAAGACTGTGAGGATGATTTAAGTGATAGTGATGGACTTGTTGGTAATATGGAAGTTGAAGAGATCAGGAGAGATACGTTTTGTACAAAAAAAACAAGCAGCTGCATGTATTGGCTCACTTCTGTCCGACACTAACATGACTCATGCAACACTTAGTAGAGTGGTATCAGCGACTGTAAGTTTGACTGGTGAAATAATCAATGATTTGAAGAGTAAAGTTGAAGGTTCATGTAAAGACATGGGAGTTGTACCAGACAACGTAGTGTACAGGAACTTATTGTCAGAGTTTGACAAAAACAAGTCACTGTTTGAAGGCCTCCACACAAGATACAAGCAAGAAAAAAATTTCTTAAGGAACATCTTAGTGTAGTTGAGCCTCAGAAAATTTTCCTTGGCTTTCGTTATGATGTTCAGACTGGAGAAAAGGGTCAGTCTAAGCAAGTACTTGTACCAGAGACATTCCAATATGTCTCCCTTTTGTCAATCATTGGTATGGTTCTAGGAGATGCTTATGCAAGCCATGAAATTGAATCTGGACATGTAAGCAGTGATGATGTCTTGCGAGATTTCTGTGATGGCCGTCAGTGTAGAACTCATCCTTTGTACTCTTCCTGCCAAGAGGCACTTCAGATTTGTCTTTACTTTGATGAATTTGAAGTTGTAAATCCTTTGGGTTCTAAGAGAGGTATTCACAAAATTGGAGCATTCTATTGCACCTTCAAAAACTTGAAACCAAGAGTGAACTCTTCATTGGACAACATCCACTTGCTGGCCTTTTGTAACTGTCTGGATCTGAAGAAGTATGGCTTTAACTCTGTTTTAGCTCCATTTGTGGCTGAACTTAAGAAACTGGAATCTGACGAAGGTGCCAAAATCTCTCTTCCAGACAAAACTGTGAGGTTTGTCCGTGGCACATTAGTACAAGTTTGTGGAGACAATCTTGGGCTCAATGGTTTGCTGGGCTTTGTTGAAAGCTTTGGTGCCAATAAACCATGCGGGATTTGTCTGGGTCATAGAGAAACATTTCAAACACAGTTTCTTGGCGAGGAATTTCCACGCAGAGACAGAAACAGTCACAGTGATCATGTTGATGACTCACTTCACAACACTGCAGCAACATCACTTTCGGGTGTCAAGAGAGACAGCAACTTGAACACCCTTCGTTATTATCATGTAACGATGAATATAACCCCAGATATTATGCATGACCTGCTAGAAGGGGTAGTGCCAATGGAAGTTAAATTAGTCCTTGAGAAGTTTATCTATGAAGATAACTTTTTCACACTGGATATGTTTAGTTCACGACTATCAAGCCACAGTTATGGAAACTGTGACAAAAAGAATAAGCCATCACTAATCATTGAATCCACTCTAAAAGGCAAAGACAATTCATTGAAGCAAACAGCGAGTCAAATGTGGTGCCTCCTGCGAGTTTTGCCTCTTCTGATTGGATCGTTCATTCCAGTGGGCAATTTGCACTGGGCATTGCTTCTGAAACTACGAACAATTGTGGATATAGTTTTTGCAGATGGAGTCACAGAAGCCTTGAGTCAGTATTTGAAATATCTTATTCAAGATCACCATGCATTATTTCAGCAATTGTTTACAACTGTCAGATTGCTTCCAAAGCACCACTTTATGGTGCACTATCCGATGTCCATGATTGAGCTTGGACCACTGATCAATTTGTGGTCTATGCGATTTGAGGCAAAGCATAATTTGACAAAGAAGTTGGCAAGTGTCGTAAATTGCTTCAAGGACATTTGCTCAACTGCAGCTTCGAGGCATCAAATAAGCCACTGCTGCAAGTGGTCTCAGCATAGTCAGAAACCTCTTGAGTTTCAGGCTGATGAAACTGTCAATTGTTCTGTAATTGATGTAGAAAACTTCAACGATCTTCTGAAACAGGTCCCAGGACTCCTTCCCCATGATGAGGTTTATGTAACACAAAAGCTAACATACTGGGGCACTGAGTACAGAACTGGCACAATGGTAGTGATTGGCATGGTAGATGAAATGCCAAGGTTTGGTCAGATATCACATGTCATCATTGTGGGGAAAATTGTTGTCATGACAGGGAATGTGTGGCTAGTAGAGAATTTCGAAGAACACATTCACTCCTATGTTGTTAGGGAATCAAATGAAATATTCTTTCTTCAACCACATTTGCTTAAAAATTTCCGTCCCCTACATGTGAACAAATATGAAACTACAAATGTTGTGACACCTAGAAATTACATCTTCTGAAATGGTTGTTTCTTGGTGCAATAACCCTTAGCCAGTCCTTGACACTGCCGAATATTAATTTAAACCATTTTAAATCCTCATTTACAGCCAAACAATGCCAGTTCCTGATGACGTACATGCAGATGATGAGTGGTTTACCGTATTTGTTGATGACCCATTACACTTCTTAATTGTTCTAATTGGGGCATACAAGTTTGACATAATAACACAAGACTACCTGAAAGAAATGTTGATGTACTTTTTGAGCCAGTTGCTGAATCAGTCACACTAAATGCTATCATGGGTAAAAGAGTATACGTGACATACGTCCAAGAGAATGGACATGAGAAGAAAAAAATGCTGAAGCTTGATGTAAGCAATTTCAATACCATGTGCCAGCAAATAAAACACAAATTCTCCTTGTCGAGTCTAGAAAAGCATGCTTTCAAAGGCAAATTGGAAGAGCATGGGCCATATGTTGAACTAGATGATATGGATGATGATATCATTGATGATGTCATTGAAGTCAAATTCCAAAAACTTGAAATGCCAACTGATTCACAATGGCCCCTAAGTCAGTCCCCACCACTACTGGAGGGCTTATCACCTGGGTCTTCCAAGTCAGGGTCATCAGCTACTCTTGCAAGTACAGTCTTGTACACGGAGGGGGTGCCATACTTATCCAGAAGCTCATCTTCAATTGTAAGTGCATGATGTATAATTTTTTGCAAAAACATGAAGTATTTTTAAGGTTCTTCACTCAAAATGCAAGGAAAACAGTTTTAACCCTAAGTCCTCAATCCTTGGACAGGTGGAGGATTGATGAGGACTGTCAGTGTTAATGAAAAGGACAGTTAGCGTGCTGTCCTGCGTGGACATGTCAGTATTTGCACAATAACCTAAAAGCAACCAAGGCAACTATGATGGTTGTGTTGCAGTGGGCCTAAACGTTTTGTTTTCAAGTGTCTGAATGTGGGCATGTGCAATATGTCGAAAAGGATATACACTGTATGAGAAAGGGGGAACACTGCTATACATGATACATTTTCACTACATTATTTCTCTATCGCAGGAAAGCTCGCCTACTTCACAGCCAGGATATCGTGAGTTTCCAGATTCACAAAAATGCCAAGAAGTTGCCACAAGTTTCAAGACCAGAGAAAGTCCAACTGATGAGGTGAAGACATTTTGAAACTGCCAGTCAGATGAAAAAAAATGCAGTTGAGGCCCCAGTTCCCATCAATCTCATATAATATTAGATTCATTATTATTTTCAATTTTAATATCACAAATAAAATTTGTGCTACTCATCAAGCTATCCTCTAGTGTACAGGGCTATGAGTTGCCTCCATCCAAATTGCTTGTAAAAATTGTCTTGTGTATCCTCATAATATGCACTTGGATGTGTTGAACCTCACAGTGGGATGTAGTCCGATCCACTAGCCCACGAATTTATTTTATGAGAGGGTTTGTAAATATTGTTTCTTGACTTTAATGGTGATTTCCTTTGCAATTTCACTTCAGGATCTTTTGCAGATGCCTTCAGATACACCAGATACAGCCATTTCAGCCACCGTGCAGGACAGTTTTGCCAGCCCCGATGGACCATCTACTTCACAGGATGCAGTGTCCAAGAGCTGTGTCTCATCAGGATCAGCAAAGGTGAGAGGTAGTCAGAAGTGGAAGAAAACTTAATGTTGCCAGCAATTAAAGCAACCAAAGTGGCTTTCATGATCCAGCCAGAGTTGTTTTTGAGTCTATCAAAAGTCCTTTCACTGACCCAGTCATGAGTAACAGGGTGAACAATGACAAAAGAATGCTTTTGTTAGTCATTTGAATATACATTTGTATTGTGACTTAGATTAAGACTGAATTAACATGTGATTGACTTGCAGTGCCTTGTGATGGTCTCGAATACAACCCGCCTAGATCCAGTTTGGATTTTCAATTGAATTATAGTACATTTTTGTTGTGTTCAGTCACAGATTGTTTTCGACGCTCGTAAGATTTTGATGGAGCACCCAAAAGGACCTACCATTATAAAGGAGTACCACAAGAACAGATACATATGCCCAGGTTCAAGGATGACTCTTGTCAGCGTGCTTGTTGCACATCTTATTGCAAAATGTGGAAGGTATGTTTCTTTTTGTTACCAAGCCAAAATTGTTTAATACTTAAACTAATCACCCAAAATGAGACTATTTCTGAGAAGTGTTTGATCATAACTTTCAAAATGCACAGCCCTCATCAATACGAAGGGACAACTCTGGTCAAACTGACACACCCAGGTCAGTTTTTCTTGTGGATCAAACAAAAGCTATTGTAAAACTACCCACCTAGCTGCAACAGTGGTACATGTACAATTAGGCTAAAGAGCATTGAAATGGCTAAGAGTAGTAGGTAGGCTAGCTACTTGTAAATCTAATTGCTACCGTACTTCATAAACTGCTATTTCACATTGTTCCCACATTGCCGAAAATTAATAAATTGTTTAAAGTGAGGATTTTCAACCAAATCTTTCATTTTTATCTGTTCAACTTTAATCAGTTATCCAACCATTGAAGAGAAGCATGCACTTGGAAGATCAGTAATCACCCTGTTTCCAAATCTCTCGGATTCGAGTGGAAAAACAGGATACGTAAGTGTTCAAGATCATCCCAAGTTTTCTCAACTTCTCAACAAAGAAACGATATCTTTAATTAGAAGGATATAACTTTTTCTGCCTTTATAGTCCAGGTATTTCCTACATTTTTTTTAGGTGGTCAGTGTTGTAATGAGTCACTTGTTTTTGTGACTCTAGTCGATTCAAATCATTTGACTGAATCAAGTCATTACAACTCTGAAGTTCGTTACCGGCTATTTCTCTTTTACACAACCAATATAACAAGTGGATTCTTTATTTTATTCAACGTTGGTCTGGGATAACTTTTGGAATAACTGCAAATACTAATTACCTACAACAGGTTGCCTGTGTGCCTTTTTTCATAAAAAAGTGCCTACTTTCATTAAAAAAATGTTTTCAGGTTTTCAGTAATAATTTATAATGTGCAGATGAGTATATTTTTTATAGTATATGTTTCATATAAATGTCCCCTATTTTTTTTTTATTATTATTCAGTTCTAAAAGGCATTCAACAATTCTCAGTTTTACCGGTCTCTTATTGCAATTTGAAAATGGCCTCAATGAAAATCACCTGAATAAAAATAACTGTTTTAAATTTGTGGCAGCTAGACTGTTATACTTATTATGAATTACCTTATTTAAATATCCTCTCTACAGGAGCATTTCTTCTGCTCAGCAGGAGGACAGAGTGGCTACATACAAGACAAGCTGAAGAACATGCGGCGCAGTCTACCTCAATCAGCCAAGCTGAGGATGAAGAAAGACACTCCAAAGCCTTGCCCTAAAGAGGACTTGCCTTGCAAATTGCTACCAGAGTCGGAAGCAGAAGAACTGGAGTCCTTTTGCCGAAATGCCCTTGGTGACCGAAACAAAACGGCCGTCACTAAAGCTATGGCCCAGTCTGCACCAAATAGGAGGGCATGGATTAATGCAGAGGAACCCTTTCTGTCTGTAATCCTCCAGAAGTACCCTCGCTTCATGGACATGCCAGAATTGGTAAGTTGTATGTTTTCTGTCATTAGTAATCAGTGTTGTAGTCGAGACCAACACCAGACCGACACGAGCTAGACCAACGAGATCACCACAAGATCAACACTCTCAATTCAAGTCAAAAACTGTTCAAATGTACTGCAACAGAGGCATTTCTTTGTCATTGCTGTGCCTGTTACTTGTGAGTGGTCTAGTGGCTGGTCTTGTGATGGTGTCGACTACAACACTGTCAGTAATTGTGCTGGTGCCTGCAATTGAAGGGCTACTTTGAAGATCATTTACTTTTTTTTTTACATTGAGAAACATTGAGGAAGACATTTTCAGATGTTAAGATATATTAAGATGTTTCACATGTTAAGAATATTTGCGTCGGGGATGTAAATTTAATAGGAAAAGCTGTTTTGTCCTTCACCAACGTGTTGTATGAAGCACTGTATACTCAGTGCTTTCCAAGAGCCTGTGAGAGCAGCGGATACCGCAATTAATTTACATCCCCGACACAAATATTCCATCTTAACATTGATTGCGGTATCCGCTGCTATATTGGATTTGAATCAGCCAGCCGGCCCCGGAAGCTCGGTGGTCGAGTGGTTAAGACGTCTGCACTAGTAAGCAGGAGGTCGTGGGTTTGAGTCCCGCCCGAGTAAGCCTGTGAATTTTTTTCTCACAGGCTCTAGGAAAGCACTGAGTATACAGTGCTTCATACAACACGTTGGTGAAGGACAAAACAGCTTTTCCTATTACATTTTCAGATGTTTATAAAACCAAATTTTGATCCTTGGTGTTTGTAACAATCACCATCAAAGGCATCACAAACTTTCAGCAGCTAGTCACAAAATTATAGTTTCCAGGTTTTTCTTGCTGTATCTATTGGTAACCTTTCTTCACTGAATATTTATGTCTAGATTGATCAGGATTTCAAAGCCATCTTCAGTGATCCTGCTGATAACCTTTTGCAAAAGTGGGCCAATCACGCGCAGATGCTGCTGACATATGCCTCAACCTGTAAGCAGGAGAGAGTGGTTAAAGTGCACCAGGACTTCAGGGCACAAACTTCAAGGAAAACCGAAGGTAATGATTTATTTATATAATATGATCTCTTTAGGTGAAACTCTAATAAGTCACTACTGTTCTCTTAACTCAAAGCATTAGTTTTCCCTTTATACTAGACAAATGTACATTGAAAGGTCTGTTTACAGGTCAATCAAAACTTTCCATAACTTAAAATTGATTTTAATTCACTTGGACCTATGATTTAACAGGATTGCATTAGGATGAAAAGATCCTTGTGTCTGTTGGGATGTGGGGATCATGTGCGTTACAAATTATTTTTTTTGCAGCAATTACACACACACTTTCAACAAACAGCTGCCACTAGCCCTTTTCATACCAAATTGATAGGTTCCATTTATCATTTTCACAACAACCTACTTGAAATCTAAACTTTGAATCACGGCACATTAAATTACCTTCAGAAGCAAAGGGAGCAAAAAAAAACCAATCAAAATACACTATGGTTGCATTTGGTCTCGCAATGTTTTGTCATTGTTTGATTTCTTTTTATAGAGCTGACAGCACTGTATGGCTTCTTGGTCTTGCTGCGCCTGTTGCCATCTTACAATACCAAGGCCAAGGGTCGTGTTTCCTGTGAAGATGTTGACAGGCTCTTGGTGAAATTTTTTGAGGTATGTTCATCATGGTATTCGCATACGATATACCGCCTGGGTTTCTAGAACTGTACTGTAGATGCTGTATCTTATCACCTTTATGCCTGTATGCCAAGTGTTGACCATCGACGTACATTGTTCTGCACAACTGCCCATTATAATGAGCTCCCTCAACATTCCATCTCTCCTTGGTTATGACACACTCAATTTCGAGTTGAACCTTTTGGATGGGGGAAACAAGCTGTGGTCATTGCATCTCTGATCAAAATTGTGCTTTCAATTCTCAAGAATTCTTGAGAGAAAAAACAACTGGAACAAAAATCACCAAGGTTTAGTTTAAGGTTTGCGGGTACACCATGTGACCAGATATCTCTTTTATGGATGTGGTGGTTCTGAAAAGAACCGGTGAGTGTTAACTCGACGTTTCGGCCAGGATGCTCTGGCCGTCCTCAGGAGAGGCCTCTCCTGAGGACGGCCAGAGCATCCTGGCCGAAACGTTGAGTGTTAAGAACCACCACATCCAAAAGCCCAAAGAGAACCACCACATCCATAAAAGAGATATCTGATCACATGGTGTACCCGCAAACCTTAAACTTACTGCTACTTCCACCATGCATAGCTTCAAATCTTACTTAAAAATCACCATGCTTGTTTGGGCCATGGTCAGCAGTTATTTTTACTTCTTGCAGTTGCACATGCACCGACAGGCAGCAAGTACATGTACATGTACATAGATCACTAGGTGACCAAGTGATGAAATTTGTACGTAACATTTTTCATGGCATAGAAAGTGTCCAAAATGCTGTTTGAATAGGCTGTTTAATTGTACACTTGCTCTGATTATCTCAGGTGAATGTGCCTTTGGAAGAGACTCTGCATGATAAGACGACCAAGCAACCCACCCTGGTAGTCCTCGGCACCAAATCTTCGATGGAACAGATTCTGCTGAAGATAGAAGAGTTCGGGTTCCACCTCCCATCAACCAACATCACAGCAGCAGTCGACCTACTGTTCAAAAGCCACTATATCTTCAATCTTGAATACTCACCTCAACTCTTCAACTTCTTTCTGTACTTACAGACACAAATCTATGGTCTTGAGTACACAGGCAAGTTACCTCCGAGGGTGACAGAAATTGCCATGGCACTGAAAGCACTTTAGATGCAAAGCCATGCCTCCATGCCATGTTATTGCCACTATGTTAGACCCTTTTGAGTAGAGTCCAGTAATTAAAAGTGAAATGTTTGTGATTTTAGACAAATATGTAAATCTCAATCTGGCTATCAATTAAGAAATTTTCAAATCAATTTTGGTGAGCAAAGAAACTTTGACTACACATTTGTTCAAACCCAAGACTTGGATTTCCACAGTAGGTGCAGAAATATACGAAAATCAAGTCTGGTCCAATCAAAGTTTCCTGGCTCACCCTAATGTTTGTTAAATAAGCCAATGAACAAAAACACCGAGCCGAGGATATATGACACACTGCAGGTAGGCTGCATTTCAGTTCAGTGGAGTGCTTAATTAGTTTTACAGTTGTTTTGGATGCAAATCATATGCAAATAACGCTCATGCCTAGGCTTGTGTTTGCATACGTGAAAGCTCATGAGCTTGTGAAGACCCCATTTGAAAGAAAAGGTTTTTTCTTTCCATGAAGTTTAAAAAATCTAATGTTTTATGAAACAAAATTGTTAAGTCAAATTGTGAAATCTAAGTATGCTGGGCAGCATTAGTGACTTTCATGTTATGACGATTGTTTAACCTTTCTGCTGTTCTAAATTCTGCAGAGCAAAATGATTGGACTGAACGAGTAAAAAAAGCCCATTAATCATGCAGTATCGAAGGTTTGTGTTAAATCAAAGTAAGTTTTTAAGTCCAATTTCCCCACTTTAGTAAACCATGTGAATGCAAATCGCATTCTTTTAGTTACTGTGATGACGACTGCTTATCCTTTCTGCTTTTCTAAATTCTGGACAGAGAGAGCAAAATGCCTTAACTGAAACGAGTCGGTCTCTTCCGCTACAAGCGTTTGATATTTGGTAACAACGCTGCCTCTGAGATATTCCAGTCAGCTGTGGCACAACTTCTTATTGGCCTGAGTGGATGCAGGAATGTACCAGACGACATTCTTATCTACGGCAAAGATCAACAAGAACACGATACAAACCTGAAAGCTGTTTTTGACAGACTCCAGAGCCACAACGCCAGACTGAACAAGAGCAAATGCAAGTTTGCACAACCAGAAGTGAAGTTCTACGGACACACGTGCAGCGGAGATGGCATCGCACCAGACCCAAAGAAAATTTAACCCCAAACCCTTCCAAGTCACGATGAGAAGAGGAAACATGGTGGAAGCCACAAGAGGAGACAAAGTAACCAGATGAAACGTCTCTCACTTCAAAAAGGTCCGATCCCCACACCCTGACCTCCTCACCCCAGACGATGACAACAGTGATGACCCCACAGACGACATACATGTACCTGTAGTCACTGATCCACAACCATCCCAAGATCCTCAATCTCTCGTCAAACCTCCAGCAGTTCTTGAGGATAATCCTAAACTGTAGTCCGATCTTCGTCAATCCACACGAGTTTGCAAGCCTCTAGTGCGATTTCAAGAATGTTCAGTGAACTCTATGCAAACCGCAATTTACAATGTATTCGCTCATTTTTCGTCAAATCTATACTAACTAGCCAACTACAAAAATAGGCCAAATCACACTCTCAGCCAATTTCAGGCAAAACCTTCTGAAGTTTCAAGGTTTTAAAACATTTGACAGTTTTAAAGTTCAAAATTTTAAAGTTGAAAGTAAAAAAAAAGGAATATTGAGTCGTGTTAAAAAAAGCTTACTCGCCCAAATGAATGTAGTATAGTTGAACAGCGCCCTCTGTTGTTGTATGTCTTAGACCAGGAAACTGTATCACATGTAATCCTGAATAAAATAGTTTCTCTCCGTGTCCATATTCCATTCCAAACATCACAGTATCATATGTTTTGGTGGCAAGGTTATATATGTTTCATGACATCCAGCAACAATCGGTAACACGTGGGTCAAATGCTTGCCCCGAATCATCATTATGTGACGATAAATTAGCAATATTTTAGTCTGGAGAATTTGAATGTGAACATGTGAACATGTTATATCAGTGCACCGGACTTTATCCAAACGTATTGCACAAAGGGCTAATTGTCCATTATTTTTAATGGTTAAACAAAAATAGATATAGATATATAAATATATAGATATAGATAGATATGAAGATATATAGTGGTTACATTAATTTTCATGACAACAAATAAATCAGTTGGAATTTCCATCACGAATGAGGTAAATTTGGAGAGTTTTGCCCATTCTTACCCATTCTTTCTCTCCCTCACGGCGAATACTTGGGAAAAAAGTAGAACATCCTTTTCCCAATGCTGCAGTACTCTCCCGGACTGTTAATGCATGGGTATCTACCCGTGTAGTAGTTTGCTGCCTCCGAGATCAGATCCCTCCAGACCACAAACTCCCTTCCCAGAGTAAGATGTTGCAGTACCGCTGGACTGAAGGTTGGAAGTGGAGATGCATCCGTAACGTGAGCTGCTTGAGTGCTCTGATGATGGGGCTTCACAGGGTTGTTCGAACTGAAGCTTGACAGAGGTATCGATGGCTTAAGTGGCAGATGATGACATCCATATTTCCTCAGTTTGCAAAATAAGCAGAAGAGTTCCTGCTTCCAGTCCTTGCAGAACCTAATCTTCCTCAATATCAGTACTATCATCCTCAGTCACCACTCTCACCGTCGTATTATGTGGAAGCTCAATTTTTGCTTTTCCTGCAAAAACATATAAGAGCAAAAATATAGTACATGAACGTGCATTAATATCCGACTTAACATGAAACTCGTTCTGTTCAGGTTGTATACACATGTTCTTACAGCCAACATTTTCCACCATTGCATACTGGGGATTATTACGTTGTGCAAACACGAAATAAACCAAAAAAACCTGAAACAGTTGATATATTCAGCTGATGCAATATCATTGACAGTTACTGTGACCGCATCCCATTGCGGTCTTGAGAATCACACTTTTGGAAATAAATGGTCCGGTTAATTTACTTATTCTTTATGATGGGAATTGCGCTGTTGCCGAATTCAATTGAATGTGATCGTCTGACTGATAAGGTTTACGCACAAAAAAAATAGCCAATGAGGCATTGTATATAAAGGTGGCTCGTTAGGAAATCGTGCTGGTAATGGTGAAGCCAACGTGGACACCATCAAGTTCCCACGGGTACTAATTTCTCCAGTCGTATCGAGACTTACATTGAAATAGATAGATAATGGTTTTCATGATACCGAGTGGTACGTGATATCATGCGTTAGTTCAATAAGTGGATACTTTCGATCGATCAACCCATAGAGTATAAGACAGAGAGGGACGATGGTTTTGTAAAAGAATTAATGCCACCTGTGTAAGAGCAGGCACAAAAAAGTGATCACTTTATTCCAGACAGATATTAGGGAAATGTAGAAAAAAAGAAGTTGCATGAAATATTGTGACGTCACACCCGAGCGGTGCTCGAAAGAGGGCGCCCTTCTCCACAGGCGTGGCGCGGACGACACGTACCAGAAACAAATGTGAATACCGTCTGCTTTGACCCCCTAAATTGCTTTGTGTAGAGACACAGGCCTTTTGTTAAGGTACATATTTTGCTTTTTATTTACTCTCAGGTGTACCCTGATATTTTTGGGATTAACTTGATCTGTATTTTTGCTGCCTGGACAGTCACAGTCTGGAACTCTGCGACACATCTTGAGTGGATCAAGCCGTTGGTGACTGGACTGGCCACATGTGAGCTTACACAAGTAACATCTTGACAAGGACAGGAATAACATGTATGCTGTCTGCATTAGGTGAACTACCGTAACAGGAGCATCTTTCATATCATCTCCAAAGAGGAGGGAACCAGTTTATGAAGCGTAAACAGTGACGTTGAACTTCCGTGGTTTCGCCGGAACTCCACGAAGTGAAGTGAAGTGAACTGACTAGTCAATCATCATCAGCGCTGGCGTTAAAGATTTTTGATCTAGAGTTCTGACCGAGTTTTCAAATTAAAGATTTTCTAGTTCAGTATAATTTATAGACTAAGTAGTGGTTTGTTCATTTGTCTGACCCAAGGTGTGTTGACCCCAATGTGGTCCATGTGGTTTACATTCACATTTCTTCTGGAACAGTAAAGAGATCAATAGAGGGCGCTCTGAATGCAACACTTAAATACAGGGGTTCAATGAACTTCGAGATACAAGCAGTGTACGATAACCCAGTGAAGGGGGAGTTCCAAGTTCCTACGCAAGCGCAATATGCGTGAGACTAATGCAAGTCTAGGGCCAGATATTACGCAAGTCCCTATAAGGGACGACTCGAACCGCACCACAACTAGGCCCCTTAACTCACCCGCTCACATCCACAGCGCGCAGCATTAGCAATGTGCCTATTGTTTCCTATTAGCCTAGCGCACGCAGGTCCATATAGGCAGACCTTGCCGGAGTCAGTTATCTTGATCGAAAGCACCACCGGCCCCTACTTGCAGAGCCAAGATCACAACGAACCTGCGCCCCTAAGAAGGGACATTTGATCCCGCAGCAACCAGCACCAACTCGAGCAACCGTAACCGACTCGTCACAATACCGCCCAACAGCCCTACCTCCTAAGTACAGGAGGTATAATGCCTAACCACACGCCCGCAAGTGCCTGCGTTTGCGAACCAGAAATCATGTCCAACCAACTGCGCTTTTCTGCGCGCCTTATAGAGCCTAGCGAGCCGGCCGCAGGCCCATATGCGCCTGCGCGTGCGTGCTTCACGTCACCAAGCAGTGACCCCACTGCCCAATTGCTAACGCGCGAGGCGGAGCCTAAGCGCTGTGCGCGTCTAGCCCACTGCTATGCACTAAAAGTAAATGCGCTAATTTTAGCCACAGCACTCCATGCAAAAGCGCCCTCTGTCACGTTTCACAGCCTCCTGACAGGCCTAAATGCCCTCATTTAGATAATCCGACATTTTAATACAAGAAATTTTAATACAACCTACTTTTAATTTGAAAACCTGAAAGAGAAACACAAGGAACAACAATAGTAATACACAAACACTTTCAACATAGTGTTTACCTTAACAATGGGTTATAAGATCTTATGCAATTACTTTAGTAATACAATGACTTTTCAAGCCCATTTTTTGT